CGGAGAAATCGACAAGATGACAAGATCGGAACAAGATTGAAACCCGATTAAACTAAGTAGAAACCTTCCGGTCAAGCCAGAAGACCGTAACAGAACATAGTCGGAGATAGAACTGGAACAAGCCGGAGAAGCCAACCCGATTTAGTTCGGGAGCTCCTACATATATTACAACCAAAAACAAAGAGAAGAAATATATACATACCGATCCGGCGTCATGGCTAAGGAAGCCCACAACGCCGGAGAACTTATTAGTTTAATGAGCATTGTATCATAAATATAAATTGTCAAATTTATCACTTGAATTGTTATTCTAAACATAAATTGATTGTTGTCATCCTCTAAATATATCGTGGTGGCTAGGCATATTGTTGTGGGTTCAGGTTATTAGTGGGTAAATTTCTTAAAACATTTATAAAAATATAATGAAATTTTAAATAAGTCACACTTTTGAAATCTTTACAAAAATACCATTTTTTAAAAATTATTTTTTCTTTATATTATTTATGTTTGAGTTAATTATGTTCTAGTAGGGTTCAGTTTTGATGATTTAGGGTTTTAGGCCATCTTTATTCATAAACTACTTTTGAGGTATCATTAAATATAAAATTATTAAAAACACACTCTTTCTTTCTTTTACTTAACTTTATACCTTCTCTTTCATCTTTTTACTAAACTTTTATTAATTTTATACTCTCTTTAAATATAAAATTATTAAAAACACACTCTTTCTCTCTTCAAAAGTATCAACTATTTGATACTTTTGATACTCTCTCTCTCCAAAAATATCCACTATCTCTTTTCTTTACTCAAATTTTATTAATTTTATATTTCAATACACTCCAATATTTCAACCAAAAACATTCTCTTTCTTCCTTTTACTCAAATTTTAATAATTTTATATTTAATGATACCCACCAAAATTCACCAATAAGGATGCTCTTAGGTGTCAAAACATTTTTTAGAGTTTAAAATTTTAAGATATAGACTTTATAAATCTATAATTAGTGGCATTTTCGTAAATAGACACCTCTAAATGGCATTTTTGCAAATATGCACATAAAAAGTGGCATTTTTGTAATTGTCCCAAAAATTTATCAGCCGAAAATTTATTAGTGGGTAAATTTTTCTAAAAAAAATTAAGAAAAATATCAACCGAGAATTTTTGTTGGTTAAATTTTGTTTTTAAAAGATGGTCTTGTTCTTTAGAGCATTTTTTATGTTATGTAATTATCTTATAAGATATGGGTCATAGAAATAATGATTCAAATATTGGACTATATCATTGAGATTTTCGTGTAATATTATTGAAATGATTTGT